AAGCTGGTGGAGGGAAGGTTTAAGTTGGACATCAGGAGGCGCTACTTCACGGTCAGGGCGGCTAGAGTCTGGAACCAGCTTCCAAGTGAGGTGGTGCAGGCTCCCACCCTGGGGGTTTTTAAGAGGAGGTTGGATGACCACCTTACTGGGGTCATTTGACCCCAGTGCTCTTCCTGCCATGCCAGGGAGTCGGACTAGATGATCTGCTCAGGTCCCTTCCGACCCTAGAAACTATGAAACTGAAACTATGAATGCTGAGGCCCTGAAGAGTGGACAGCTTGCATTTGTGCAGCTGCGGAGAGAGGGGTGGGACACACTCTGTGCACACACCTCAGTATGCTCTGCAGGCTTCTTTAGTGTGCCTGGCAACAGATGACAGCAGTGCATTGGGAACGCCGGTTTTGCTAACCCAGACTACCCAGGGTCAGTCTGTGGTGTCAGTATGTACAGACATTTGCTTTCCCAGCAGCAAGTCTCTTGGAAGTAATTTTAATCCTGGTGGTTCCCACATTATTTTTTTTCCTGGAGTAGCAGTTTGTACTCTGGGAGAAAAAGCCTAAACAACTTCTGGGAGAAAAGCAACAACCCTCCCAGGAAGAAACTGAAGTTTTTAGATTCATAGATGTAGGGTCGGAAGGGACCTAAGTAGATCTTCAAGTCCAACCCCCTGCCCTGGGCAGGAGAGAATACTGGGTTCATGTGACCCCCAGCTAGGTAATCATCAAGCCTCCTCTTAAAGACCTGCAAGGTAGGAGCCAGCACCATTTCCCTTGGAAGTTGGTTCCAGATCCTAGCCGCCCTGACTGTGAAGTAGTGCCTTCTAATGTCCAGCCTGAACCTACCGTCAAACAACTTACGGCTGTTATTCCTTGTTACTCTGGGAGGTGCTCGGGGGAACAGGTTCTCTCCCATTCCCCGGATCATGGAAGTGGCCCTCCTCTAGACCCTGTCGATACTGGCCACATCCCTCCGAAAGTGCAGCGCCCAGAATGTCTATATGAAACCTAAATTTGTCTGAATCAGACCAATATTTAAATGCAATATATCTGATATTGCTTACCAAATAATACTTTTTAATCTGTGTAATGTGGCAAGAGCAATAAAAGTAAAACCTGTTTTATCATGGATGTTCTTGAAATAAGCTTCTCAGGACATGCAAATCTTTCTGCCACTACAGAAAAAGGGTTTCATACATGTGTTGTTTGAGAAGCTTAGTGGTGCTGTATTTGAAGCCACTATTTTATATTAGCAAATAAAGACCCTATTGTAAATCCTGTGGGCCAAGTCACTACCAACGCTCATGAAAATTGTAGGTAAGAAAAGTTTCATTCACTTCCCTTTGTTGCATGTTGTTTGTATCAATGTGGGGACAGAGGGAAGAAGAATATAGTGTTTCCCTCAGCAGAAAAAATAAGCATTCACTCTAGATCTAGAGACCTGCCTAGAATAAAATAATAAGGTTTTGGGCACTGATCTATCAGTACTGATCTGATATCAGACCGATGTAAAGAAAATTGGCTGTATTGGAAATTGGCCGGATGAGGCCGACAAATGCCCGTGCGTGTGTGCATGCAGCTGCAGTGCAGCATGCAGGCAGCAAGGAGCACAGCCTGGCAGCTTGGAGAGATGCAGCCACCCCAAATTTTACCATAGCCCCCTCCCAGCACTACTGCTGCCTGCCCACCGCAGCCCTGGCTCAAGCCCCTCCTCCACCCATTTACCAGGAGCAGCCAGGGCTGCACTAGGCGGGCAGCAGTGGCACTGGTAGGGAGGGTTATGGGGGACCTACAGTGAAATTTGGGGTGGCTGGAGCCCCTCCCCCATAGCCCCTACCAGTGCTGCTACTGACTGCCCCGAGCCCATCCCCCACCAAGAGGAGTCCGGCACAGCCTTGGCTTCAGCTGCAGCCTGCTCCACCCTGCCCCTCGCAGATCCAGGGAGCACATGCTCATTGGAAGGTAGCAAATGTGGTCCCCATCTTCAAGAAGGGGAAGAGGGAGGACCCGGGAAACTATAGGCCCATCAGTCTTACCTCAATCCTGGGGAAACTCTTTGAGAAGATCATCAAGGAGCACATGTGTGATGGGCCGGCATCAGAAATGATGCTCAGGAGCAATCAGCATGGATTTATTAGGGGGAGATCATGTCAGACCAACCTGATTGCCTTCTACGATCAGGTCACAAAGGCCATGGATGCAGGTGTCGCGGTGGATGTAGTCTTTCTGGACTTCAGCAAGGCCTTTGACACCGTCTCTCACCCCATCCTAGTTAAAAAACTAGG